AGCCATTGACAAAAGCTGGAATTGGAGTGAGGAGGAAGAAACTAGGAGGAACTGGGACACGGAGATACAGGAGTAACAGGGATACGTGCTAAAGGGGACACAGACAAAAGGGAGTTTACGGTGAAAGGGAATCCTCCTTCCAGTATTGGAAGTGAACACAAAGAGTCCTGACACTTAGCATTAACTCATCTGCCATTAACTATTTCTTGAACTATTTCTGAAACCTGTCAGCCTCAAATGGCTGGTTCACAACGACAATAAGCTCCTACAGTTACATTTTTATTGTAGGGTTACATATCGTGGTAGATCTAAAAGTTCTCAACTGTTGTAAACAATTAAACGATAAGAAATTGCAACTCTATTTCTTGCTTCTTTTTTCCTTTTTTTTCTTTAAAAAAACCCCTATTTTAATTATATGTTAAGACTGCAAAGTAGAGACAGGAAATGTCAGAATTAAGGTTGCCTTTGCAATGACATCCAATATCACAATCAGAATATATTATGGTCCAGTCTTTAATTAAATAATCATCTGTGGGTTGTTTTTTTTTCCTTGCACCACCTTGGATAGATGAATCAAGGAAAGGTCATCATTACTGAGAATGTTGCTTCTAAGTCCTTGATTTCATTTGTTGCAGAAATGGATATATATGAAATGAGCATAAGTAAGCAGAGGATGCTGGAAAAGGATGGATAATCGTGGTTAAAAAGCTGAAGTGCTGTTCCTGTGTAGTTTGGGATAAGTCCTTTAGAATACATACTTCCAAAATACTCAGTAATTATGTGTTGCTCATTTTATAAATATCCAGCTTGGTATCTCAGCCCATAAATGAAACTGAATTCAACAGGAACACTGATTTTAAATACACTGAATACATTAGCCAAAAATGCAAAGTATCCTGAAAAAATAGGTCCTAGCTACTCAAAAGTTAAGCAGTTTGTCACCTTAATCTTTCTGTGACTCTATTTCCCAGCTTTCAAATGGGAATATTATAACAGGAATGCTCTAAAGATAAAGTAATTAATGTTTGTAAAGAGCTCAGATACTGCAGTGATCAGTGTAATAGAATGGCCTGCCAAGAAATTAGAAGTCTGTCTTTGCACCAAACAAAATAACAAAATGACTGGATTATAACAAAGTGACATAATGACTGGATTCTTACTGAATTAATTATGTCAAATGGTGCTTTGAATAAGGCATACATTTTATGGGAAGGAAAGTAGGATTCTGGAATAACAAACCTCATAACATGTACCCACTTCCCAGGCAACATTTAATCTGGCATACTCCAACTTCTGAGTTACTGACTTTGCAGACATAACTTGCTTTAAATCTAAATGTTTTTGTTTGTATACATGTGTTTGTCCTACATAAGAACTTACTGCCTCATTTGTATTTGTTTATATGCTCAATACATTAAAAGCTTGTTGACTTTTTATTCTGTTGTTAAAGCCTCCTTGTGGCACACCAGTAACAACTCTTTAGGAGTTAGAAAAAGTGATTAAATAACACACAGAAGATGTCAAATGATACTGTTAAGATGATTGACTTCGAAATGCAAAATAAAGGCAATTGAGAGTGATTACTGGAGCTAATCATTTTAGGCTTGCCTCTGAAAAATGCACCTTCATTTACAATTGAAAACAAATGCTATTTTTACTGTTTAGTATTCATGTAGGTAGATTTAGCCTGTTGACTAGAGAAGACATTATAACATAAATACTATCTTAAAAATTTGCTCTTTACTAATATCTTGGTGTTTGCAATATATATATACACATTTAGATTCACAGGGGAAGTAATATGGTTCTCTTTAGTATTTCTCATATAATTTTACTCAGCAGATTTGTTTTATTAAAATGTAAATAATGGGATATGGTAAATGAAAAATCCAAGAGGGGAATAAACAGATTATTTATCGTTAATGCTCAGAGTAGCTTATTGAAACATACCTTTGAGTAACTGCCGCTGAATATTAGCTATGAAATTTTCATCATGACTTGAATGTTACCCATTAGGTTTAGCCATTTGTATAGTTAAAAGGCTCAAAATGTTTCGAATATGCCTTTAAAAACATTGTTATCTCAAATTTAACCATAGATATTCACAAAAACTGCATTCAGCGTGTCTGAGATTCAACCCAATATTGCTTCAAATTAATTATTCTTCTTTAATTGTGCTGTATAAACAGAAATGACCTATTAATTTAAAGAAAATCTATCAGACAGAATGTATTCTCTCTTATAAACAAGCAAGATGAACTTGACCTTGTTTGAACTTGTTTTGATGTGGCCCAGATGGTAGGCTACATGCTTGAATAGCAGTCTAAAGCTGAGGAAAAACTCATATAGCAAGATCTAGATTTATAGCCTTTTGCAAATTCCTACCTTGTATTGTCCTTTCAGCATCTGTTCTGCCCCCGCTGCGGTCAGCTTCTATCTCTGGGGTCAGAGAGTCTAGAAACATAGAAAGGTAAGACTGACACATATTTCATTTGATTCTTATAGCCCTTTTTACAACCTGTTACTCCAATGCTGAATTACAATACAATCAACCTTTGTCAGTTTTTTTAATGTTGAACAATGACTGGAGGCCAGGACAATTTTTTGTTAGACTAGGAAGATTAATGAGTAATAGATTTTTCAAGCATAAAGGGGGGAAGAGAAAGAAGAAGAAAAAAAAATTGACTTCTCAAGCTAATAATATAAAATTGTCCTAGTTTGGACATTCTGTCTAGTGAGTTTATTTGCACATACTATATAAAGTAAGAAAACAATAAAGAGAGACGCATCACTTGAATGAAGGAAAGAGATTTTCTTTTTTTTTCCCCTCCTATCATGTTATAAATTTTCAATGTAACAAGCTTCTTTTGGCACGTAAATTGAAAATTAATGACAGAGGCAAAAATTGGTTTCTTACCATTTAGGACCCTGAGACTATCTGTTGAAGCTGCCTGTTTCAGTGTCTGTTCTGCTTGCTCCCGTCGTTTAGTCTCAAATTCAAGTGCTTCCTGCAATTTCCTCTTTGCCTTCTTTTCCTTCTTTAGCCTTTTCTGAATTATTGCTAGGAAAAAAGAAAATCAGTGTGCTCAGATTCGGATCTGAAACTTGGCTACATGATTACCTCTTAAGAGTTCCGAGAAACGCTACAACTGCAACAGTTCATATAAATTGATTAATTATACAATACCAATTTAAATTACTTGAAGTTTGCTGGAATCACACTGAGATACTCTAAGAGCTACTGTTCTATACCATGGTATTGAAAACTGTGGTTGATATTCAGCTATAGCATATATTTTTTCTTAATAAACAGATGAGAATCTGTGAATGTCCAAATCAGAAAACCTTGGAACCGGCAATGAAATGTACTTTTTGCATCATCTGACGTAGATACGCCTCTGTCTCTGGAGGTGCGGTGTTTTTTCGGGATTAAGTCCACCATTTTGTTATTGCCCGTAGCACACACTTAGTATACACACAGGGATGAAGTTCTCGCCGGCCTGCCTGCCTGCAGCTTCTCCCCCACAAGAGGGAGCTCCGGTTGCTTGGGTGCCCGGGCTGCAGGAGGAGCTCAGCCCCCACCCTGCTGTGGTCCTCATTCCTTAGGGAGAGGCCCTGAGGTTTCTAACTCCCCTCCAAGCTGCTGCTTCCTGCAAGCCATCCCACCTGTTGGTGCCCGGTCTCTTCCCCATATTTATTTCTTATCCACATTTCCCTCTGTCTTTCCCTTTTCTCTTGCTCTCTGTCGGCTCCCGTCCCATCAGCCAACTCATCTTGAAGAACTCATAGCAAATCCTTTACGGTGCTGGATCCCCCAGCCAAGTAAGTATTACTTCGCTTTGTCAAATGTGAGGGAAAACATTAGGAAGGGAAGGAGTATTTTAAAATTAAGCATTAGAATATCCTAATTTAGAAAAATGTTCTCCTTGTATTTCCTCAGTTCAAATTTTACAAGGAAAAGGATTGCAAGATCAGGAAGAAACTTCATCACAATTTTCTTTTCTATGTTACCAGTGACTTACAACCACAAAAGTAAGACTTGCATGATCCCTAACTGAAGGAACGTATCACAGGTTACATTCCTGATGGAAAAGGATAATGTGAACAATTTTTCTACTCAATAAAAGCCAAAGTGAGCCTCTAAAGAAATCATGTAAAGTCGTAGAGCATACCACTATCTCCCCCACCACACACCAACCCTTCTTACATAGCACTTTTAGGGTTTTCAGGGGTATGCATGTAAGCTTTTTTCTCGTAAGACCTTCCTGGATAACCTTTTCCTGGAGAGTCTGTTATTTTGACACTAACTAAAAAATGATCTACTAAAGTACTCACTAAAGAGTTCTTTACACACATTAGGAGAATTATCCTTACCAAAACCAGATACTAGGTGATACTAGGTTTGACTGCCAAGATCTATCTAGCCCTGTATCTCACTCCAAAGCAACCTCTGGTACATGCCTAGGGATGAATGCTGGAAAAGGTAAAAATATACTTCCACCAGTTCATACTCCCCATTTCCAGTAGTCTGTGATGGTGGTATCTTTCTCAAAATGCAAATAATGAAACTTTTAAAGGGAACTGTCATTGTTATTACTATTTAATTTATATGTTAAGAATAACCACTTTTTGGGTGATCTTGGATATTTTGCGTTGCTATACAGAACTGTTGAGACACAAAATGAATATAAGCACATTCCCTGTAGTCAGAAGAGCTACATAATTTACATCCAAGACACTGGAATTTTGGTTTTCTCATTTTGTATAGTACCAACTACTTTACAGGCTAATTAGCTTATACTATCAAAGAACATCTAGTATCTATACAAAGGCTAAACTAAATACATTTTGAATCATTGCACGGTTTTAATGTTTTCATTATAAGTACTTTGAAAGTGATTGCAATAAATGAGAAGGAAACATATGTTGCTTTCTGAATTAAAATGTCATCATGGCTGACACATTGTAGATGTGACTACAGCAGTCAGAGCCAGAATTAGCAAGCCCTTACTGTGTAGCTGCTCACAGAAGAGATATTATCCTACTTTCACCAGTTGATGAGACACATCCTACAGCCTTAGGAATCACTAATTGGAATATTTACAAAGAAGGAAGGAAACAGTATAGTAAATAAGCGAGCAGCTCTGTAGAACATACAGTAGCAGCAGTGAATTTAATGTTCCAAAAAAAGGCAAAAATATTCAGATGTAGCCACTAAAGAAAAAGATATTTGACTTGTGTTAACATGGCAAGCGAGAGAGACATGTTGCCTAACGCTGAAGATCCCATTCACCTAATGGGTTTTGACCTGTATGTGACACAGTGACTCGTGTTTCTATGCTGTAGCTTTTAAGTGTATTTCAGTTTTTTCATATGGTATCTCTTAAATTAACAGGGATTTGGTACACTTTTCCCATCTTGCTTATGCTTCCATTAAGACATGTGAAACTTTCTTTAAGACATGACACTTGCTATCTGGAAAACTAATAGTAGGTAAAGCCTCCTATGTATTTTTCTACCTTTAATTGAAGAGTAAATTCTCACAATAATTAGAATCTGGCCTTATTTTTTCTCTCCTACTTGGATGTGTTCATTTTAAAGAATCTGTTACCTTTGTTTCTTTTGTACAGAAGTGTCCACTAGCAGAGATAGCCATCCTCATTATATTTGCTTTGCTGCATACCACCATTAAGTGTTCAAATCCATTCCTCTTTGGTCTGACATTTTTACCAGTGCAACGTCATCATTAGAGGAATACATACAAAAAAGCAGGTAATGCATCATGCTGAAAATAACATTGTCAATTATTTCAGTACCCTGAACAAAATAAGGGACTATCCCATGCTCTTTCCTGACATACACCTTTGAGTGAAATTATTTGGCTTAATTTTAACTGCTCAAAACATATGTGTCTATTCCAGCCTAGTCAACTATCTTCCGTCTGGAGTTAAAGGGAAGCGAAAGAAGTCTTCACAGTGTAATTGACCCCACCCACCTGTCTGAGAACAGGATGTACGAATCTCTTTCTTTATTGACCAGAAAGGCAACTTAAATTAACTTAAATGAGGTGCTTAACTTTTAGATGGCAAAACTCAAGGTCAGATGGGTCCCCTCCAACCTTTTCTATTGTGCATGTGATTGCCTTACTCTAAAAAGGAATATATATTTGAGCAGTTGTGAGACACAGAGGTAGAAGGATGTGAAGAATAACCAAGCGCTTTTACAACACTACTTTAAAAGTATAAGTAGTGCAACTGTACTGAGCAAAATAGGCCAGTTGTGGACAAAGGGATGATTCACTGCACAGCTGTGATAATTGTTAATAGTAATTGTCTTTAAAAATGTACTCTCAAAAGTTAAAAAAGGGAAATTAATGATGTGACAGTCCTACCCTTTAATGGGTCAAGGCATGAAAGAGGATTACACTGTGTACTTACCGCTAGCATGTTAGCTAAAGGTATAATGATACTGGTTATGAATCCAAGTGTTCTCAGGATTCCCTATTTAGCCGGTTGCCAGAAAATTAAACTGGACAAGAAGAGACTTATAACTCTAGCCCTGCAAAAATACATATCTGACTTGTCATGGTCTGTGTTAGACAGCAAGTGAGCCCCAGAGGTTAACTGTCCCTTGCAAAGTAATTAGACACTATTAAAGGGCAAGACATACATATACAGAAAAATGGACCCATAAAGAAAGATGGAAACATGCTCGTAATGCAAACAGATAATACAAATCACTATAAACTGCCTTACCTTTACTATCAATGAAATTATTTAAAAATCTTTAACATATATATGCTTTACAGTGGACTGATGTTAATGTTTGAAATGCTACTAATGCTGCTGCCTTATCAAGAAGAACCTTAACTGTTCCTTCTACAAACATGTGTTTGATCTACTATGCATTATAAAGGGCTTATATATTAGTATTATCTTTATATTTATTACATATGGTTTGCCTAAATATGCAGTATATGACCTTAGCACAGAAGAACAGAAACAAGAGTTCCTAAAACCTTGCAGATTCTTAAATTTGATACAAAATGTCTTTGTATTAAGTAGCTATCCTTTTTCATAATGATCACAACCTGCCAAAGTCCATAACAGCACCTATGGTATTTATAATTGTGTTGTGTATTACTGATGTAACAAGTAATATTCAAGAAAAACGTTGAGAAAAAGGGAGATCCTTGTTCTAAGTCTCATGAAGACCCTATGCAGAATCAAGCAGGCTGTAAAACTTCCTGCATTGCAGTCAGCCTGGACATAACATGAGGTAAGGGGGAAAAGTTTTGATCAAACACAGGTGTTTGATAAAAAATTAGGTTTCCTAAGGAAATAAATTACAAGGTGTTTATGTCTGCTTAATTAAGATACCTCTGTTCTTCTGCTCCACAGCCAACTGTTTTTCAAGTGTTTCCCTCAGTTCTCGTTCCCTGAAGAGCTCCATCTTCAGCTCTGTCTTTTCCAGTTGGACCTGTTTCTCTTGAGCTCTGGCATTGTCTATAGCAACCTTTAGTAGACCCTGTTCAAAGATAAAGTTGGATAATGTTTGAAGAATGTTAGAACAGCTGACATAATAAATAACTTGGGTTATTTTTCCTTGATTAGTCATGTGAGATTTTACGAATTAAATAATCCTGTTACTGGGTCAAAGCCTCCCAATTATCAACAGCAAATTTTTACTGGAATTAATTTTAACAGGTGGGCAAAAATCTGTAAAAAGCCGGGAGTCAAGTTTTCCCAGAAAACGCAAACTCACCTTTGACTGTGCATATAACTAATGTGAAAAAGTTATAGGGATAGGTTTATTCTTTGTAACAGATAGAAGAGACAAGCCTACATCAGGCACTTGCCTGTGACCAAACCAAAAAGCTGTCCCATTGAAAAAGAACTGGCAGTCTCGCATTCACATCATCCACAGAATGGCAAATTCAATCTCTAGCACAACTCAAGCCAATGGAAATTACCAAAGGGAGAAAGGCTCTTTTAAAGGCTTGCCATTTTGCTCCTTATTGTTGGTAATCATTACTATTTTCAAATATTTTCATATTTCATAGAGTTTCCAAGGAAGATAGCGTTACTGGGATGCTAAGGAGAGGACAGTCACAAAGCAGGAAGATATCTCTGTTTTGAAAAGTCCGTTCCCTGACCTTCTACAATTGTTATCTCACACCAGAGAAAAAAACGCAATCACCTCTCAATTTCTTGACCTGGGATGGTTGAAATAAACTCTACCTTTTTTTTATTGTTATTGTATCAGGAAATAATGATTCAGCCTATTCTAAACTTCGCTTGAGAATTTCAACTTCACAATTCCTTCTTTTTTGCAAGGAAACGGGAAGATCACGGCACAGCTAATAACTAGATAGTTAGGACACTGAGATAGGGTATGAAAAAGACGAGGAGAAACAGAATTGAAATAAATGAACATGGAAAGAGGAAAGATTTCCTTTTCCATTTTCCAGAAGCCTGGCCATCAGGCTCTTAGGTCTACACCTGACTCTCTCCTCTTGAAGGTATCATAATAGAGTAGATAATTAAGCATGGATATGCATATATGAACCTCGATGGATACGAACCTAACTCTTCTGTATCCTAGGCAAGTCTCCTGACAACTTAACTGTAGAGATAATTTGACCCAACAGAGATTTAATTACTGATATAAAGCAAAACAATGCCAACAAGAGAGACTGAAGAGTACTCCCCAGTAGCTCTGCTAGGGAAGCATTCAGCTAAGAGATAAAAGGTGTGTGAAGACCTGGTTTCAGAACAACCACACTACAGACATGAAATCATGTCCCCCAACTCCCAACTAAGCTTCCTCACCTCTCAGGCTCACTTCCTAAATTGGATTCTGGGTTGCATGTTTTTTCACTAAAATTTTGAAATATCTCCAAAAAGGAATGGAAAAAGAAGCCAGCATGATGATACTTGAGAAATGGAAAAAATATTTTTCATGAGTGTTACTCTGCACATTTATCCCACTAGTCTTCCCAATGTCAATGCCTACTTTGAAATTTCTGTCCTTCAAACTCCTCTTTTAAGTCTGTTTCCAGAGCTTGTTATTTTCAGTACTCCTCATCCTCATTCTTAACAAAATTGTTGCCTCACATGTTGTCTCTTTCAGAGCTTAATTGCTCTATTACAAGTCCACAGGAACTGAAAGAACTCAACACCTTCCGACTGCAAGGCCCAGATGGACACCAAAATGATATACACTACATAAGTATAGAACCACATTTGAAAATATCTAACAATGGTAACACAACAAATGTGCTTACAAATATGTTTAAATTTTTAGCAGTTTTCCTTAAAAGAACCAAATGCTATTCTAAAATAGCTAAAACACAAAGGTATTTTGTGTGGAATGTTAAACCTGGATGACTACTAAAGAAAACCACAGAAAGCTAAACATAAAGCTCTAGACATATGCAAAGTAAAACGGAATTTGAAATATTTGTAAAGCCTTTCCAATCTATTTTTAAAAAAGTTAATATCCGCCTGAATTCTGTTCCCTTCCCCCACCATATTCTCCTACATTTACAACCATTGTAAACTATGTTTTCTATACAGTATGCATTTGAAATAGTAAGAAATTGAAGTAGGAGTTGTTTATCAATACCTGCTTCTGGCTTACGCTTAAACTCTAGAATATTTTAATCTCCTCCAATTCATCACTTACTGGAACATGTGATTTATCCAAATCACTAATAAACCAGATCAAGTGAAATTACATGAAAAGTATTTGTTGATGAAAAGTGTATTGTCAAGTAAGTTTAAAGCCGCAAACTCTCTCCTCCCAAATTCTTACAATCCATCTTGTTTAACAATAAAATCGAGCTGCTAAAGCAACTGCCATCTTTACTCAATTCAACTACATTCATGTACATGTTTCTTCTTCATCAGGAACAAACAATTAGTAACAAATGAAAGAGATCATTACATCAAGTGCCCTTTTAGATCACCCCAATTAAAACTTTAGTTTAGCTGTATTTTAATTCTAAGATACCAAATTCTAATTTTCTGCTCTGATTGCTCTTGTTGACTTATCTTTGAAAGATGTATTCTCAGTGCAAAGCCTAGAGATTATTTAGCAAGATGCCAATGTTGGCACCACTTAATGTGTTGATTGGTTGTATTATCAGTAGCAGTTTAAAATAAATTACTATTAAACTATTATTGTCCTTGGCTGACAAAACACAATATTTTGGTGTTCTTTAAATATGAAACAATCATTATGAATAAACATGGAGAATAATGCTAGAGTGTAACACTGATATGTGTAATTTTATATTAAGAATTGCTGCAAAGTACGAAGCTGCTAAAAGCATATTACATTTTCTATTGAATTTCTACACCACACTTCCTCCCCCAACCTTTCCTTTTTTTATACTTGCTAACATAGCTAATGGTAATACATTACCTATTGCTGCTGATTATGTCTGAAAAATATTAGCTTTTTGGAGCCAAGACCCACTAGGGACTACTTATAAGCTACACAAAATTAAGTTTCATTTTTAGAAGTTAAATCAGTGCACATCAGTAGGCGTCCAATGTGAAAAAAATCTGCACTAGAGCCAAACTGATGCATATGCAAAAGTGCTGTTGCTGCCAATGACAGCTCTAATGCAAAAATACTGGAAACGTTCAATATCTCCCTGTATTCAATGCAGAAAGGGGTGAGAAAAACAACTAAAAAGTGCAGCATCTAAAAATCATCAGTGCCCCTTGGAACAGGAATAGCAATTTCAGAGTTGCATGAAATTCTATTAATTCTCCCAGTGGATCAGCTGTAAAAGATTATACAAAATACAGTATGTCCAACTTGTATTTGCTATGGCTAATCCTCTAACCTGATATTAAATCAATATGCTGCCAATGACAATGGGAAATGCAGTGCAACACAGGACATTAACAAAAAGAAAATATTTCCCTTTAGGGAAGGTCAGACGTTAGGGAGGCTGGATAATGATAATTGTAGCGAACATGCTCAGGTTCCAGATTTGTTTTTAATACAGCATGGCTCTATCTGGAGCCAGACTTTAAACATGGTGTGCCATTCTTCCCCTCAGTGTCACTGTTAAAATTTTTTTTTTATTTCAATGTAATGTCAAAACTGGACATTTTTCCCCTGAGATTTATAGATCATTCCAATTTGTTTTTTGTGTTTTGTTTTTTTTTTTTTTTCCTTTAATGCACTTGTTTTAGTATTTTCCACTGATAAATTCTTCAGAAATGTCCCAAGTTAAGTTGATATATGGTTGATGTTTCTTCCCATTCTCCAATGTATCCAAAACCACCATTATGTTAGGGCAGACTACTGACCCTATAGAAATTAAACATATATCAAAACTCAACTCAGCCTTAAAGCCAGTATTACACATCATTATTTTTAAAAAATACAAATAATGTGTTGCCTATTTTGAAAGGGGTCGGGGGAAGGTAGAAGCTCTTTCTTATCACATAGATAGCTATGTGTACAGTGTGTTCCACCTAACATAATTTAGTTAGCTACACAGTTATATGTGACATCAAAATGGCTTACTACTTAGTCCGATGGTCTATCTAGAAGATCACATCCTCTTTCCAACAACCGCCCACAGTGAGTGAAAAAGGAAAACTAGAAGAACGAGGCATGCACACAGTGAAGCTTTCCTAGTCAAACCTCCTAGCTTCCAGAGATTTGTAGCTCAGGGGCTTCCACTGGCGGCAAACTTTTTATCAGGGCCTGTTGCGACAGGATAAGGAGGAATGGTTTTAAACTAAAGGAGGGTGGATTTAGACTAGATATAAGGAAGACATTTTTTACGCTGAGGGTGGTGAAACACTGACACAGGTTGCCCAGAGAGGTGGTGGATGCCCCATCCCTGGAAACATTCAGGGTCAGGTTGGACGGGGCTCTGAGCAACCTGATCTAGTTGAAGATG